GCTCAAGGGAACGTTCGCCCGCCACTTCTAACAGATGGGAAGTGTGTGGTGCGACACCGTTGACCTGTGACTACATTTATTGTTTATATATCACATCTCTTCCTTTTTATATTAATTTAGAATTAGAACTATATTTATAATTACTACCGCTTCCTAGTGCTTTTGCTGTGGAGAAGAAACGGCGCAACAAACTCCCCAGCAGCACACTGTCTTTTATAATTAAATTTTATTGAATATATAAAATTAGTCATACTTAAGCAGTTACAATGAATATTATATACAGGACAATGTTTAATTATATCAGAACTGAATTAAGTTTCTGAAATCAATAAAACTTCTAAACATCTGATCTGATCTGATTTGATATAAATCTAAATTGTAAATCTAAATCTAAATCTTAATTTTGAATTAAACCTAACTAAACATCATTATCTGAGGATTGAGATTTTTCTTCACTACCAATGACTTTCCATTGGCCTTCTACTTTTTTTAGATGTACAATGTTTCGTCTGTACTCCTGACCAGTATCATCATTCCTAATATGTACATCGCTTCCTCCAGTGTTAATAACAGTATGAGGTGTTGGATTAAATTCAGAAGCTAATTTGTTGTCTTTTACCAAGTTCTTCACATATACCTTTTCTCCAATTTCTAAATCTTTATCTACAGCTCGTCTTCTCTTGTCTTCATTTACCTTTCCGAGTTCCTTTTTTTCTTGATCATGATCTCTAACTTCGGAATCATTGTAGTTACTTTCGAGGTCAGCTAAAAAGGGTAATTTGTCTCTAAATTGCCTTCCATAGAAGAGCTCTGAAGGAGATTTTCCTGTGGAAGGATGAGGTGTGCTGTTATACATCATAAGATATTTTAATAAATCATCTTTCCAGTCTGATTTCTCGCATTGACTGATTCTAAGCCGTTTGAGGATATCCCTATTTTGTCTCTCTACCTCTCCGTTTTGTTGTGGCCAGTAAGGGATTGTATTGAAAAGAGTAATTCCTTGTTCCATACAAAATGATTTAAATTCATGACTACAAAATTGTTTGCCATTGTCGGCTGTTATACTAGAAGGATTTCCCGTACGTGAAAAAATTTGTTTTAACACTTTTATTGTATCTTGTGTAGTTATAGATTTCATAATTTCGATTTCTTTGTATCGGCTGTAGTAATCAATGATTACAAAGAGGTAATCTCTACTCGGCAGTGGACCCAAAAAATCAACAGCTATATCTACCCAAGCCTTTGAAGGAAGTTCACGCCTTTTCATAGGTACAGGAGGATTGGGGGCTGAGACTAAAGTGCACCCTCTGCAATTTTTTACAGTATTTTCAGCATCTTTGTCCATTTTCGGCCACCAAACCTTTGTACGTAATCTAGCTTTCATGTTAACTATGCCTGGATGGCCTTCATGGGCCAATGCTAAAACTTGTTTTCTCAACATAGAAGGAATTACAATTTTATTTCCCCTTAACAAAATGCCATCATGTACCCAAAGTTCATGTTGAAATAGTTTGTAATTATTTATTGAACTATTCCAAACATCACCCATTACAGCTTTTTTTACTAAAATAAACTCTTTATCATCATTTGATGCTTCAATAATTGATTTAAGAGGCAAAGCTACCGGTCGCGCATAGTGAACAATCTGGTTAACATGATGTTCATCTTCGAAAGAACTTTTATGTAAAATGGGACTTGTGCACAGACGGGATAATGGATCTGCTATATTCGATTTTCCGGGTTTGTAAATTACTTTATAATCGTATGTTTGTAATCGAAGAACCCAACGTTCGATACGAGCGCAAGGTTTCGAGCTTGTACCAAATATGACTTCTAATGGCTTATGGTCTGTGATAAGTTCAAATTTTTTACCATAAAGATACATATGAAAGTGTTCAATTGCCCAAACTAACGCTAATGCCTCCTTTTCGGTTTGACAGTAACGTTTTTCAATGTCTGTCAAACTTTTGTTGCCAAAGGCAATGATGCGAGGTCCTCTGTTATCGTACTGAATTAGCGCGGCTCCTAAACCTACAGGACTTGCGTCTGCGATTACTTGGGTGCGATCTTTGGGGTCGTAATAACCTAGGTTAGGAATTTTAGTTAGACATTTTTTTAGTTTATCGAAAGCTATTTTTTGATCATTTAGCCAGAAAGCTGTGATATTAGCGTTTTTATGCATACTTTTCTGGAGTAATTTTCGAATAGGCTCTGTGAGAGTAGACAAATTGGGAATCCATTTTCCAACGAAATTTATTAGTCCTAGAAAGCTTTGGATTTCTTCGATGGTTTTCGGAGGTCGAAAGGTTTCGATTATTTTGATGTATTTGTCAAGTGGTTTAATGCCTGCTGGTGAAAGTTCGTGACCCAAAAACTGAATAGATTTTGTGTTGAAATAACATTTATTTTTGTTTAATAACACATTGTTATCTCTGAGTACGGTCAATAAATGTTGAAGCCTAGCTTTATGTTCTTTTTCACTGCATCCAAAAACAACAATGTCATCAATAAAGTTAACGACTCCTTCACATGGCAATAGCATTCTTTCCATTATTTTTTGAAAATGTTCAGGTGCACATGATATACCGAACATTAACCTCTTATATCGATACAGTCCTTTGCTAGTTATGAAGGTTGTGATTTCTCTACTATTTTCTTCAAGTTCAACCTGGTGAAAAGCATTTTGTATGTCTAGTTTTGAGAATAAAATTGCTTTGCCAAATTTGGGAATGAGTTGTTGCATGGTGGGTAAGGGATGATTTTCTCTTATAATAGCTTTGTTGGCGGCACGCATATCCAAACAAATACGAATATCACCATCAGATTTCAGAATAGGTACCATCGGAGTAATCCAAAGAGAAGGTTTATTTACAGGTTCAATAATGTCCATTTTTACTAATTCCTCTATTTTTTTATTTATTTTTGATTCCAAGGGAATTGGAACCCGTCTGTATGGTTGACAAACTGGAGGAACAGTTTTATCAATGGTGATTTTTAGTAGCACATCCTTAAACTTGGGAAAATGTGTTTGTTCAATAGAATTTACATCGAAACCAAGTCTTAGCACTTTAAGAGAAATGGCAGTTTCTTTACCCAAAAGATTTCTTGAACCATTTTCTATGACATAGAATTTAGTCATTAAAGATTTGGTTCCGACTTTTATATGTGCATCAAATGAGCCTATCACTTTTAATGGATGGTTTGCTCCATAAGCCATAAACGTTTTGTCTGAAGACTTTTGTGGATTGAAAATTGTAACTTTACATTGCTTCATGTGTTCCCAAGTTTTATCATTTATAATATTAGATTTGCTACCAGAATCAATTAGCATTGAGATGTTTACTCCACCTACCTGACAATCTATTGTTGCATCGTCATCGATGTGGAAAATATAGTCTACTGTAGTAGCGTCAGTGTTTTTTGGAGATTCGAATCTAGGTTTTTTATTCTTGTTACTGTTTTTTGATGAGAGGTTGGTACTTTTTCTTTTATGGGCCCTTGTTTTACAGTGTTTTTGGAAATGACCTTTAAAACCACATTTCATGCAATTAGCGTTAATTGCAGGGCAGGAACTATTATCACCTTTGTGATTTTTGCTGCCACATCGGCAGCACATGTTAACCTCATTTTTAGTGTCTCGTTTTATATTGTGACTGTCTATTTTATTAAGGCTGGAAGACGATGTAATTGTGCCCTGTTTATCGTGGAACTCATTAAGCTGACGTTGTACAGTTTCAAGCGAGTTTGCTTCCGAAATTATTTTGTCAATTGTTGCTGTATCCCCAAGTATTAAGATATTTTTCCTCAATTTAGAAGAGCTACATTTTTCAACTATTTGATCGATAAGATTTTCGTCTTCTTTAGCAAAGTTGCATTTTGAGCTTTGTCGTCTCAGACGAATTAAAAATGTTTCAAATTTTTCATCTGATTCTTGTTTCATCAGTCGAAAAATATGTCTTTCAAACAGGTAACTTTGTTTTGGAGAAAAATAGTCGTCTAATTTTTTAATAGCGACATCATAAACGTCATTCACGTCAGGGTTAGTTACGTGAGCTCCTGGTATATTAAAATAGATGTCTTGCAGTCCCATACCACCCGAATGTAATAACATTGCACGTTTTTTATTTTGCTCATTGGTGTTTGTGGCTACAAAGTATATGTCTAAAGCTCGTTTCCACTTAACCCAACGAGAACTCACTGAGGTTGTATCACCTTCGCAATCGAATGGTTCTAATGTTGGGATCTGTGATTGGGACATTTTGGATGATCTGCAAATAAGGAAGGAGCCACTATAGTAATCTATCTTAAAAATAAAATACACTAAATGTGCTTCTCTTGTATTTTAACTGAAATACAAATATTTATATTTAATTTAAAATTTATAGTGGGTATCTGTATATATTACAGTAGCTACGCCTAATACTAATTAGCAGCATAGGTATATTACTTTATGTTTATAATAGTATTAAAACATATTCTATTCGGTTTTAACTTCGGCATGAGCTTATCAGTGAATTAAGCTATGCGAGTCTATTTATAGAAACTTTTGTTACTATGGGTCGCAATGTAAACAAACTCGAGTGTACAACAAATCCTCTATACTGGTAGGATCATATTTAGGAGTGTAGTCATGAGTAGGTAACGATAAACAGTGCTTCATTTAATAATTTTATATTTGGCCTCAATAGATTTTAGACACGTCTTGTTTAGTTTTAACAGGAACAATGAGACAAAGAATTTTATCTTCATAACTTCATTTCTGAAGTAGTACTTTGTTAAAACTGGTAATTAGCGACTATGTTCGCTGGGACAAATGTGAGACATTGCTTAGTTTTAACAGGAACTTATTATAT